AGCATAAAACCACCATATTCACCTTGTACAATGGTCTTCATAGTCACACTTTTCTTACTCATAAACTAACCATGTAATCAATATATTTCGCATTTCAAAAATAAGCATTGGAAGTAAGGAATCTCATCTTTTATACCTATAAAAATAAAACTGTTAAGCGAAATTGTGGTTTGACAGCATTGTTTCACTCAAAGTCAAATATATTCTAAGATTTATTACCCATTGTCACCTATTTCACCATGTCACATACATGAGTAAGCTCATACAAATACCACGGTAAAGTATAATTAAACGAAAATATACCAGTTTATATGTATCAATCACAAGGCCTTCTCGTATTTTCTTCTTGATATGAATGGCAAATGCAGATTTATTGAAATCCTTCTTTAACCATCAATCCACTCTTCCTCGATAACTACCAATAACTTAGTCCAAAAAACTGTTACGTATTAAATCCCTTTTCTTAAGCAATGCAATGAGGAGTGTAACTAAAGGTTGTATATTGAAACAAACTTACCAAATGCAAGGCCACTTCAATGAGCAATCAAGAACCATGGACACCAATTTCAACTTACTGCATATATGACATCTAAAATAGTTTGTAAAATTAAATAAGCTTAACAATTCATGCGAGGAAAACAGGTCTCGGCTGATTTTACCTTCTCAGATTAAAAATAAAGGCTACAATGTTTGCACTTATGTGGCAAGAATCATAAGGGAAGGCAGCCAATTTATCCCTACATACATGTAAATCATAAAAATGTGCTACTATAGTAAATGGATAACATAATTGTCAATTTTTAACCAAAGTGATTAACAATATGGGAGATGTGTCAATTATCCAGAGCAGTCGGGATTTCAAAAAAGGAACAGAGAAGAAAATTAAATCAAGAATAAACCTCAAAATTTGATTCTGTATCTCACACACATGCCATTTACTTTAACAGATGAAGGCAGATAATTCCACTGAAGTTGCCACAACCTTAATTATCCAATTATGGTCCCTGATATTAAGTCATTTAAAGGTATAAATGTCCATAGACCACTTCAGCGAATGGAAAAAAAGATCTGGAAATTTAGTATCAAGTCAAGGAAATCTGAACCTTTTCTTTTCTTGACACCTACAAACATAGAGTTAGACAGACATACAACCTCATACACACACGCGTATGTCCAAATGTTTACAGTGCTGCAGTTCCAGTGAGTTCACCAATATCTGGGAAAGATGAATATTGCTAGCCACAGCCAGTGTCTTTTTAAAATATACCAAGAGATGAACCCAGATGTTCAAGGTAATTAGCTACCAAAACCCTGGTCTTTGTGCCTGGTCTGGAACCCAAAACTGAGAGTTCTTCATCATCTAAAAGGAGTAATATTTATATATATATATATATGTATATATATTTTTGCTACTGTGCACCATGATGACCCATGGTTTATGCTGGTATCATCAGACATTTCTTTGCTACATTGTGTAGTGAAAAAAATATTTACAATTGTAAAGATAAATAAAGAGTAACTTAAAGACCAGTCTTCAGCTGGTGAGGAACGGAGACAGTTCTGGATCAAAGTCCAGCTCTGGGAATAATTGATCTAATACTGCATCCAGAAGGACATAGGATAACTGAAAAAGAAAAAAAAGAAAAAAGGATTAAGCATATTAATTGTGCATATCATATTTCACAATATAAGCATCACAGATCACTTACAGATGACTGTCAACATGAGCAGGTACATCAGTTTCTCACCTGTTTATTGAGTATGGGTTGTTGAAAGAGGGTGACTAGAGTATTGGCTCCTTCAGTGTACAAATCCTGCGTGAAAAGTCTGTTCTGCACCCACTGCGGCAGTAAAGCAATCACTTCCTGACGTAGCTCCTTCTCCCTCAGCCTACGGTCTTGTTCCGTCCTTTCAATGGGGGGGTCTACAAACAAAGCATCTGAAACATAACAAGAAAAGACATTACCCCACTATTTTCATACCTGGTTACATTAGATTCCCACATATAGCAAAATCTGCATTATAAATAATGTAAATCATAACAATAACAAAAGTTTGGATTTAAGCACACTCAAGAAAGTCATACATAACGTAAATCATAACAATAACAAAAGTTTGGATTTAAGCACACTCAAGAAAGTCATACCTCTAATTAGGTGGATGAGCTTTACTATCCTAGGGGGCGCCAGTGCGAGAGACAGCTTCCTCCTGAGAAACCAACTGACAGCTGCATCTAATGTGTTTCCAGCCAACACACGAACACACATCAGCCATCTTAGGGCGTTAATAGACAGTCCATATACACGCACAGCTGTAATTGGGAAGAGATGTGACTCCAAAAGCAAAACATGGGAGTTGTACACATGCATTAATGATGATTCATTCATTCATTTATTGCTTGAGAGAGAGAGAGAGAGAGAGAGAGAGAGAGAGAGAGAGAGAGAGAGAGAGAGGGAGAGGGAGGGAGAGGGAGGGAGAGGGAGGGAGAGGGAGGGAAAGGGAGGGAAAGGGAGGGAAAGGGAGGGAGGGAGGGAGGGAGGGAAGGAGGGAGGGAGGGAGGGAGGGAGGGAGGGAGGGAGGGAGAGAGGGAGAGAGGGAGAGAGGGAGAGAGGGAGAGAGAGAGAGAGAGAGAGAGAGAGAGAGAGAGAGAGAGAGAGAGAGAGAGAGAGAGAGAGAGAGGGAGGGAGGGAGGGAAAGGGAGGGAGGGAGAGTGAGAGAGAGGGGGGAAGGGGGGAGGGGGGAGGGGGGGGGGAGGGAGAGGGAGTGTGAGTGTAAGTGAGCGTGTGCGTGAGATGTCAATTTCTACCTAAAATCTCATTAAATAAGCACACCATTTATCATAGAAATGCACAACCAAAAAAGGCAAAAACAGATCACTCTCAACTGCAACTATGCAAACAGATGATGTTTCACAATATTATGATAACCTCCTTCCCATTCATCACAATAAATAAGATATCTACAAGAGTTCATCCCTTAAACTGATATTGAGATCAAGATTTATAAAGGATAATGTCCATCTCCACAGAAGAGAGACTCACCTATGTAGAGGACCGTGTCGAAAACTCCATTCACTGTCATGGTGGTGGGTGGAGGCGGAGGAGGCTCGTGTGAAGGCATCGGGAGGCTCTTGGCGTTGTCTCCAAAGAGGGTGGTGGTGAGGCTGCTCTTTGCTTGGAGGTCTTCAGGCTGCTCCCTGGCCAGCGACCCTTCCTCGATTTCATTTCTTGTGAAAGAGAGATGCTGTTGTAGGTCTCTCTCTCTCTCTCTCTCTCTCTCTCCCTCTCTCTCTCTCTCTCTCCCTCTCTCCCTCTCTCCCTCTCTCCCTCTCTCTTTACAATCCACAGTAATAACTCTTTCGGAGGTATGAAAGAGAGAGAATAATTTTATAATCATTGAATATTTCAAATGATCAGAAGTGGAGGTGGTGGTAGCAATGGTGTTGGTGTTCGTGGTATTGGTGATGGTAGCGCTAATGGTGGAGGTGGTGGTGTAGGAAGTAGTGATGGTGATGGAGATGGTGATGGTGATGTGGTGGTGGTGATAGAGATGGTGATGATGAATATGATGTGGTGAGTATATTGATAGTGAGGCAGTGGTAGTGGTGATTATGGGTTGATGATGATGGTTATGACTGTGGTGGCAGTGGGTTGCTATGATGGTACTGATGTTGATGATTAAAGTGATGACAAAAGTAGTAGTACTGATGATGATAATAGTAAGATGATGATAATAGTGATAACCATGATCAGGATAACAAGATAATGATATTAAAAAGAAATCACCATAACCCCCCCTCCCAACTCTCCCTCAGACACTCACTTGGCTTTGGTCTTATTCTGCGTGACGGTCGAGGACAAGAAGACATTGATAAAGGCGTCCAAGTGCTGTCCGCGCTCCTTCATCAGCTTGCGAGGAACATCCCTGATGAAGCGGCCGATGGAGACGTCGGGCAAATAGGTGTTGGTAAACTCGTCTTTTGTCTTCAGGAAGAGGAACAGCAGCTGTGAGCCCTTCAGTGCCGGCTTCTGTAAGAGCTTCTGCAGGAACTCTTCGAAGGTCTGAAATGGAGGTGGAACGTCTCTTGGATATGCTTTGTCAAAATAGAACTTTAAGAAAGCATGATATTACAATATCAAGACTAGTACTGTGCATCATCATCAATCTCACATACTCTTATCTTTACTAGCACAATTCTGCATTTCTACTATTCAATATCTTTCCCACATCAATTCCTTACCTTCCCGACCCCCAAATTCAATCTCAAACAAAATCCGAACCTGTCTGCGAGTTTTCATGAACCCGATATCCTTTGACGTGAAGAGGGACCGCCGTGGGGGCAGCTGGTTGTCCTGGAACTCCCCGTGGAATTCGGTCAGCTTGGTCTCCAGGATGTAGAACTCGTGGTACCGCCTCTCCACCTCCCAGTGCACCTCCTCCGGTCTCTCAGCTGCAAGAAAGATCAGACTGTTCAATAATCAAGTGCTACCCCCCCCCCTTCCCACACCCACAGTATCCATCAGAATTTTATAACTGACATATTTCCTAAGATGAAAAACTTCCTCCATCTGACTACACCCTTGACAGCTAAACCCTTTTCTTTACCTCCAGTTACATCAATCCTGGTAACATCCACAATGAATGCATAATAGGGCTTGTTGTTGTGGTCCAGGCGCTGCTCAACCCGTGGGATGCTGACCCTCCAGGCACTGAGGTCACGGAAGCTAGAAGTCAGCCCCTCTAGCCCACTGCACGACTGTGATACACCTCCCTCATCGGCCTACAACAGTTCTGTCTTAATACGTTTGTCTTGAATTCATAATTCAAAATCATGAATATATTCAGGAGACATCTCACAAGATCACAAAACAGAAGTAAATAATGGTATCGGAATGTTAACATGTAAATGGGAATTCACTGTCTGATATATTAATACATAACATCATTTTCAAAATCTAAATTCTACACAATGTAAGTTAATTCATAAATCTCTAAAATATGTATGGTTAATAAAACAATGATATAATCAAAACAGAAGCAGAAGCAAAGAAAGCATTATCGTAAAAGCACATAGGTTTTAGAACACATGCCAATCACTCCCTAAACACAGCTAAAACTACCAACAAAAACTACATTCCAGCATAGGAAGCCATTACATGATTGCTCTGAACATAAAAGTATAAAAAAAAACACAGAATGACAAACCTTTTTACTAACCATGAGCAAAGATATATCATCTGCTTCTTCAATATCATAGAGCGTGTGGTCGTCCTCGTCGCCGATGACCACGGAGGGTTTGAGAACCATCTGTTTGCCAATGTGCTTGAGGCCACTACCCACCTTCTTCACCACTACTTTACCTACATTCTTCCTAGGGAGCTGATCCAACTCCCTAAAACAAGATGTATAGACTATGTATACTAGGACCTAGTCGGTGCATTGCTCAGGAAAGGTATGCACAGAGAAGTAAATTTAGACAGAAAAAAACAAAAAAACAACAAAAATTTTTGTCTTTGGATTGGATGGAGTAATTCATCCATGGGAATCCTCTCTCTTTCTCTCTCTCTGTCTGTCCAATCTGAAGAGAAAATCTGAACAAATATCTTGTAATCAAAATTGCATGATGTATCTCTGCATTTTTCTCTTACATTCCTGCTCCCTCATCCTCGCTCAAACCTCTCCATTCTTTTCCTTTATTTTCCTCATCTCCCTCCCTTCCTCCCTCCCTCCCTACCTCCCTCCCTCACCAAAAAACTCTTAAGGACAAGTAAAACTTCACTTTCCTCGGAAAAATAATACACATACAAAAATAGGTCAAGCACCCAAATGGATGGACCAAAATATCAAAAACCTAAAAAAATCAAAAAAAAAAAAAAAAAAACAGAAAATAATCAGATACTCGGAAAGCACTGATCTCCACGAAGACTTTTAAAAAGCGTGGTACGAGCCATCACATGTGACTCTCAAAATCTTCCTTTTACAGAGGAAAAAAAAAAAAAAAAAAAAAAAAATGCAATACAAGCTCATTCTGATTACAAACCATTGCCATTCTGCATCCTAAGATCAGCAAAGAATCCCAGTATGACAGCGACAATAAACCCCATTTCCTGAAAGATTACAAAACATTCTACGAGTGACCCATCATGCCTTACTGATATTCTTACCTTATACACAATAGGAGGTTAATATGTGGCGAACTTAGGTTACTTGTTTATATCTCATGAGGCAAAGCTGTCAATATGGAGACATGCAAATATATTTCTACTTTCAGTATCAACATAAATTATACAAGACCAATCTTATTATCACTTATATTTAATTAAGGGAAGAAATGCTTGTACTCGGCTAAATCTGAGTCTGTGTGTGTGTGTGTGTGTGTGTGTGTGTGTGTGTGTGTGTGTGTGTGTGTGGTGTGTGTGTGTGTGTGTGTGTGTGTGTGTGTGTGTGTGTGTGTGTGTGTGTGTACATGTGTGTGTGTGTGTACATGTGTGTGTGTGTGTACATGTGTGTGTGTGTGTACATGTGTGTGTGTGTGTACATGTGTGTGTGTGTGTACATGTGTGTGTGTGTGTACATGTGTGTGTGTGTGTGTACATGTGTGTGTGTGTGTGTGTGTGTACATGTGTGTGTGTGTGTGTACATGTGTGTGTGTGTGTGTACATGTGTGTGTATGTACATGTGTGTATGTGTGTGTGTACATGTGTGTGTGTGTGTGTGTGTACATGTGTATGTGTGTGTGTGTACATGTGTGTGTGTGTGTGTACATGTGTGTGTGTGTGTGTGTGTACGTGTGCATGCGAGTGTGTGCGCGCGTGAGTGTGTGCGCGTGTGTGTATGTTTGAGTGTACAAGCACCTCTGCCAATGTATCTACATATCATATATTATATAAATATAAGGAATTTTATAAAATAATAAAAAAACTCAAAAATGAAAAAACAGCCATGAGTAATCACTGCTTATAGGTTAATGTATTTTTTTTCATTAAAAAACAGATACTTAGAAGATGGAGAAAATGAAAATGACTGATAATTATAATCAATAGTAAATCATGGAAAGAGCAAAACAATAAATGATAATAACACTAATAACAATAATAATAACAACAATAATAAAAACAACAACAATAATAATAATAATAATAATAATAGTAATAATAATAATAATAAAAAAATAATAATAATAATAATCATAATCATAGTAACAGTAGAAGCAATAGTAATAATATTAACAATAACAATAATAATAATAATAATAATAATAATAATAATAATAATAATGATAATAATAATAATATCAACAACAACAATATCAACATTAACAATAATGCTAACCATAATAAATCAATAAAAAATAAGAATAAAGATAACAGCAACCATGCCTATTCATAAGAGTAATCTACAGCAACAAATACAACCAAACATACTTACCACAATGACTCAAAGAAAACAAATAAGTTAACCCAAGATACAGATCTCATTCAGAGAGCCCTAAGGCCATCCATTCGGAATAAAGAAATTACATTTTACGGCACAATAAAACCATGCAGAGTGCTATAGTGAACTGGTTACGGTGTACCTAGTCGAGAGCGATTTTAATTTCAAACGCGAGAGCCAAGCAAAAGAAATAAAATCAGCTATTTACCTTACCTCAGAACCTTAGTGACGGTCCAAAGAATACATCGATAGGTGCTTCAAAAATCATATATGCAAAAGACTACAACATTACCTTCGCTTATGATACAGTATAGGTCTAAACTAAACTAGACTAACCTTGCCTAGTTATGCATAGGCCTACCATAATCCAACACATCCTACCAGCAAAACAAAGAAAGAAAGAAAGAAAGAAAGAAAGAAAAAATTACAAAGCAACACATACAATCCAGTGAAATGACCCAGACTGCAACAGCCTACTTTTCAAACTCTAAGACAGTGGTTCCCAAACTTTTTTTTTCAAAAATAACGCCCGAAACTCTTACCGTCCTTACTGAAGCACTTTTTCCTTTAACCCCCCTCCCCCTTGTCTACATGTATTTACTTTTAACCTATACATCTTCACTTGTTAGAGAACATACTGCCCCCCCCCCCCCCCTGAAGAAAAAAAAGAAAAAAGAAAAGAAAAAATATACATACATATATATATTATATACACACATCCCCTGACATTCAATTTTTGGGGAACCATGGCTTAAAGAATCCCAATATCTCACACTTGCCAACTATTAAAAAAGAAAAAGAAAAGAAAAAAAAGAAAAAAAAAGAAAAAAAGAAAGAAAGAAAAAAAAAAAAAAGACAAAATGGAACAAAAGAACAAAACAAAAACCCAGGCTATTCATATCCTACATATACACACATCCCCTGACATTCAATTTTTGGGGAACCATGGCTTAAAGAATCCCAATATCTCACACTTGCCAACTATTAAAAAAGAAAAGAAAAGAAAAAATATACATACATATATATATTATATACACACATCCCCTGACATTCAATTTTTGGGGAACCATGGCTTAAAGAATCCCAATATCTCACACTTGCCAACTATTAAAAAAGAAAAGAAAAGATAATAATAATAATAATGATAATAATAATAATAACAATAATAATAATATCAATAATAATAATAACAATAATAATAATAACAATAATAATAATATCAATAATAATAATAACAATAATAATAATAACAATAATAATAATATCAATAATAATAATAACAATAATAATAATATCAATAATAATAATAACAATAATAATATTAATAATAATAACAATAATAATAATATCAATAATAATAATAATGATAATAATAATAATAACAATAATAATAATATCAATAATAAAAATAATATTATAATTCAACTTACTCTCCATGTATTGTTGCAATAGAGTGATGAGTGACAGTATTTTAAAGTAATAAGAATATTGCTATTTAATAAAGAAAAATATGAATAAATATGAATAATAAAATACAACATTATACACAATATAATAAAAAGAAAAAATAACAATAACACCAAGAACAACAATAGCAACAAACAACTACAAGAAAAATTCATAACAATAACAATAAAACCTACAATAACAATAATAACAATAACCATAATAATAGCAATAATAATAAAGATAGTAACAATAACAATAATAATAATAATAACAATAATAATAATAATAACAATAATAATATTAATAATAATAACAAAACTAACAACACCAACAATAACAATAATAATAATATCAATAATAATAATAACAATAATATTTATAATAATTAACAATAAAAAAAATATATATATAACACTCAACATAATTACAGTTATAATAATAATAACAATAACAACAATCATAATAATACTTGTATTAAAAGCATTAATATTAACAATAATAAAAACAACAATAAGAATAATAAGAAAAATAAGAATTAGAATAATAACAATGATAACAACAACAATACTGATAACAATACCAAGAACAACAATACACTAAGACTGGCCTTAAAACACATTCAACAAATCACAAATACCAAAGATTAAAAAAAAAACATACACAAATCAGTAGCTAGCAGTCAAGCCATTACTTCATCATTATTCACCAAAGTTACTCCTGAACTTAACCTAACCCTCAGCCAAGATCGAAGAATCGGGCTAATGTTAAAGCCGTCAGTTGGTGCGTTTAGCTTGATCAGTGCTTTCATAGTCTACGACAATGAACCGCAAGGAAATGCGTGATAATGAAATGTAACAATAATAATAATAATAATAATAATAATAATAATAATAATGATAATAATAACAATAATAAAATGTTTAAGGCAACACAAAGGTAAAAATGTGTTGTTTTTCCGTAAGTTATGAAAAGAAACAGGCTACTATGTCAATACTGCTACTGAAAATAAAAGCATCAGAACATAACTATGATGATCATGATAGTAACAATGACAATAATAACAACAATGATAACATTAGTATCATCAACATCAACTCTGATAATGATACTAACATTC